AGTCACTCGTTTTGTCAACTTCAATGATCAATTAGCTGATGTATTCACTAAGTCTTTGAGAGGACCTAGGATAGACCAGATATGTAACAAGCTTGGTGCATACGATCTATATGCTCCAGCTTGAGGGGGAGTGTTACTGTTACTGTTACTGTAAATAGTATAGAAGTCCCACATTGTGTATATGTCCTTGTATTTCTTATTTGGTTTAATATATAAATGAAATCTCCTTCGTGTAGTTGACACAAGGATTACAATGAATATCTCTTGTCTCTTGATAATTAACAAACTCTAATCCAAATCTCCGTGCAGCTACATTTATCTTTAAATAACAGAAGCAAGGTAACAACCATGCGAGAGTGACAGCTGAGAAAGCACCAATAAATGCCATAACATACACAAAAAAAGGGAACAAATATTGCCACAAGCACACTACAAACCACGATGATTGTTCTGATTAGTATGCTAACAAGTTTGTTATTGTGAGAATGCAATGTGTCCTCAACAGCAATGGCAATTGGAGTCACTACAACTGCATACTTACTGAATGTGGTAAATAATGCAGCACTTATAGCTACGTAGGTACTTGTTTTCTTCATAAAAAGATTTAAGATCACTTGGGAATTTGAATAATCTCCAAACATCAAGTAACCTATAATGGCCATAATCCCATAGGTTATGGTGCTTGTCACAATACAAAATAGTAAAACCTGCAATTGACAAAAGGTATAATTATGTGAGTGTCATTTAGCTAGCCAATTTAATTATAGATGAATTGAAGTTGAACAATTAAATACCATAAAGATTTTACCTTGGAAAATTGACTACTATTTCTCATGAAGTTGCTTAGTGTGGGAAATTGACCATGAACACAGTAACATACATTAAAGAGGCTCACAGACGTGATAGGTAATCCTTCCAATTTCAATAGCTGGCCTCTTTGATGAAACCCCACACCATCTACTGCGCCAGCCCACAGAACACACAATATATCAAAATAATTGAAGCCACTACCCCACTAGCTGAAATGTAGGCCAGAACAGTAATCAAAGCAGTAATCAAAATCGCCAAAGCAGTAATCAAAATAAAACCTCTTTTACCTCCAATTCTAAGGGCTCGTTTGTATTGTCTTTTCAAGAAGTATTTTTTATCACTTCCTTATTTTAAAAGTACTTTCTATAAAAGTTACAGCTATTTAGATTTTTTAAAAAATATTTGATTTCTGAAACAAATATTTGGCTTTTGACTTCTGCTTTTTTTAAAAGCTAAAATTTTTAGCTTCCGAAAAAAGTAGGTTTTTGACTTTTTTTATGACTCCTGCTTTTTTTAGAAACAGACATCCAAACAGACTTTTTTCGAGAAGTTCTTTTTTTTTCTTAAAAAAAATAGCTTTTGAAGAAAAAAAAGTTCATCCAAACGAGCTCTAAGACTACCAATTTTGAAGTTCTTGTTTGGAAACAAGTATTGCAAACAGTCACCTCCTAGTATTAGAAACATTACTGCAACTAAGAAGATCTCTAAATACAAGAAAATGGCTACCACAACTCTTCCTTTGTAGCCAAAAGCACGGTTACCTATATCAGGATAGGATTTGATTTGTGGATGCATATCCATACACCTTTGGAGAAGTAACCCTGTGTACCAACTTACAATAGCCACAAAAATGAGCAATATTAAACTCAACCATCCCCCTTGAGAAAGTGCATACGGCGTTGAGAGTATTCCAACACCTGAATAATAATTATATTAGCCATGTTATAATAATCTAATAATACAGTTTAAACATGTCAAATAAGTAAACAAAATTTTAGAGGCAAAGAAAATTCAATGAAACTACAAATTGATTGAAAACACATAACATAATATAAAGGCAAGGAATTCAACGGTGCTCGAACTGGACTAATTGAATAATCAATGAACTAGTAAATATATCCAAAAAAGACATGGAATTTTTCTCTCTAGCAATTTCATTGACTTGGTAAACACACATGTAATACGTATAAAGATTTCTTATTCATTTGATTCTGTGAATATTTTTATAGATTATGTTTTTATCCCTTGCATTTTAGTAATATACATCGCATAAATATCAAAAACATGATTATTACATATATATATATATATATATATATATATATATATATATATATATAGAGAGAGAGAGAGAGAGAGAGAGAGACCTAATATGGTGTTCAATCCATTGAAATAAGTTCCGAGAAAGGATGTTCCTTTGCTGGGTTTCTCTAAATGTGGAACTTGGAGTTGGCTTTGGCTCTCCATGCATGTCCTATTGGCTTTGGCTCCTATTGGATTTCTAATTCTATAATGCCCTATACATTTCTTAATAAATAATATTACTATATAGGCAAGCGCTCCCTCAATAAGGAGCTTTGTTTTAGTGGGCCAGCCACACATGGTCCTCTTCCAAAAGTAGAAAAAGAAAAGAGTGACAAGAAATTTTTAAAGAAATGAAAGACAAAAAAGAAAACATATGTTTCTAAAAATGGAAAAAGGACCACAGTAAAAAAATGGGCCGGGATCATTTTAAAAAATCTCCTCAATAAGGGAATTTCGCAAATATCTTATCTTATAAATATGTTATTTCAACCATGACTCAGCACATGCATGCAGTCAATCACTTCTTTCTAGGTAATCGCTTTGTCACCTTTATAAAAATTAAAAAAGGACTTTATTAATCTTATGTTGTAGGAGAAAAGTTCTCTCCTACCATAGAGACAATCATGGGTGAGGTCCACTCATTTATAAAAAATAAAAAAATTAAATTACACGAAAATCAATGAGTGTGTAGGAAAGAGTGTTATCTTATGTTACATAAGAATAATATTTCCCATTAAAAAATATTACAATCTTTGGTGGCTCTATTCTATATCACAGTATGTAACAAATAAAACAGACAAAAAAAATTAATACATACACTTAAATATGCAATTCAGGACACATAGAAGTAATAGACTAACATTTTTTTTAAGGTAATGTGACTCAAACTGATCTTTCTATAACATTCAGAAAAATCTCGGGAGTAAGAGCCAAAATTCCACAGCTAAGAGAGTTCAACAGTACTTCATCTTCTTAATCTCATAATTCGCATCACACCATTCCATTCCTTGTAGAATTTTAAACCAAAGCCGCGGTGATGAAAGTTCCAGCGTACGTGACAAATAAAATATTAATGTAGAGCTCATTTTTGATAAATTTTGTAGAAAATGTATTGTGTACGTTCATTGATAATTAAGAGAATGTCTATATATGGACGCTATAATGTAATTCAAGCAATAATTTTCTCTTTTTCAATATCAATCAAAATTTAATCGCTATGCTTGCTTCCTCCCTTTGCCCATACCATCTTCCTGTCTTTTAGCACAGTCAGTATGTGAGATTGTCTTAAAGCCCCCATTTAAAAGCTATCAAAGGAACACAGAAGCTAGCCCTCCTCTTAGGCCATGTGATTGATGGCAGATGAAACTAAATGATGGAGGAAAAATCTTTTCTTTTTTGAAATGACAAAAAGGTGAGTGAAAAATGAGAAAGAAAATGAGAGAAATTTTTTTATTGCCCTTTTTATTGGTTTTTTTTTATGATATTAAATAAAAATAAGAACGGACAAAATTGGTGTTTACAAAAAGGTATGGTTTGACGAGGAGATAAAATAAAAAAGTATGATCTAGTTGAATGCTGGAAATTATGTTTGCATACTATAGCCCATGATCCTATAACACACATGTTCCAACAAGCATGTTATTATAGACTTTGGTTGATCACTTTTATACATATATATTTTTGTGAACTAATAATTTTAAATATGTGTATTAGGAAAAAAAAATAGAGAAGTTACTATACCCAAATTTGGTTTTTCAAGATATCATTTCTTTTATATTCAAGTTTTATTTTATTTTATTTATTTTTATTTTTTTAACATTTAAAGTGAGAGTAGTTGACAAGAGGGACATTTCTGTCAATAATGAATAAAATCCAATGTATGTTATTTGTGTTCCCCGTATTTATATCCTCGTGCTTAATATATATTAGTATTGATACGTTGATAATGGAGGTCAAAATCTTGCTCAAATATTTGTGGAAATCCTGTATTAAACTTTTAAGTTTCACATGTGTACTAAAAAGAAGATTGTATAACGCTATAACGCTATAGGTAGCACTAGTGTGCAATAGTAGACTTCTATATATATCGGGTTTGATTTTATCATGTTGCATGATAATTGAATTCTCATATTGTGACTCAACTATTGTAGTGGATCCCACATTTATTAAAAAAAAAAAAAAGATTTGCACGAAAATTGAAGGATCACAACATGAGAATTGAATTTTATGCAACATGAGAAAATATTTTTCATATATATATATATAGGGGTTTGATTTTCTCATGTTAAATGAGAATTCAATTTTCATGTTGTAGAGATAAAAAGCATGTGGGACCCAAGTGTTAGAAAAATTATATGTAGGACCCATGTCAGCACGGAAATCGAAGGGTGTGTAGGAAAATTTGAATTCTCATGTTAAATGAGAATTATAAAACCCATATATATATATATGGGAAAAATGTTTTTGCATTAATGCAGATAAGTTATCTGCATTTATTTCCAAAACGACGTCGTTTTGGTATTGAAATCTTAAAAAATTATAAATATAAAGACTATTATAACTTGAAATAAATTAAAATTATAAAAACACCATGATTTTCGCTCCAAAACGACGTCGTATTGGGCTTACTGCAGATAACTTATCTGCAGTAACGGCAGAAAAAGCGAACCCTATATATATATATATATATATATATATATATATAAACCAATTGTGTAAATATACCATATATATATAAATGCTAAAATATAAATTTTAATATAATTAAGTATATTATTCATTCCAAACAAGGATTCTAAATATCATTGTCAATTTAAAGTATCCAAAAACTGTTAATTGAATTATCTAAATATTATCAATTATAATATTCTAATTCTTAAAAACAACTAATCAAAATTTCCACTTCCACCGTCTCCGAGGTTTGTTTCACCCTCACTATCACTAATAGAAATATCGTAGAGCTGATTAGGCACATCTTCAATTTGTTTATCACCATCTTCATTTTCTATAACTTTTATCCCCCAAGAACTTGAAGGCAATCAATTATACCAGCAATGTCACCCTAAATCAGGATTTCATCCTCAAACACAAGCTCATTTTCATTATCTTTCTCATCACTACCCATGTTGAAAAACCAGCTCCCATGAGTTTAATAATTATAAATTTTTTATGATGTCAAAGGAATTGAAGAATAACTTAAACCGAAGATACAAGTCTTAAAAGCATAATGATAAATGTCATACTTTGCTCCGTCTTTGCATCATACATTTTAAATACATGAGTCAGGTAACTAAGTCATTTAAGCTGAAAATATTAAGTAATTTGAGTTGAGGGCATGTTAAGGGCAAATCTCAAATTACGCACAAAAATTAGTTAAGAACCAAAAACAAACATCGTCTTTAAGTTTTTGCTTTCTGCGGACAAGTTCACTTTACTTATCATGTACCCATTTCTTGTGAAGCTCTTTAGCCGGAGGATATGAATAATGTGATCATGGTTCTTCGGCTCTTATACACCCGATCACACTAAATAATTTCAGAAAACTTAACTTTTACTAAACTCTCACTTCTAAACTACGTTTCTCTTTGAGCGAAATTGTTGAGCAAATCATTATCTGAAATCGTGAAGAACAACTGAAAATGAAAATTGCTGAGATATTCTCAAGACTTTTTCAACTGATTTATTATCTGATTCACAGAGATATAAGTACCGAGTACACCAATAATTGATCCTGTTAATATAATTCCTATAATGACCAACAACTCTAACCCAAATCTCCGTGCAGCTACATTTATCTTTAGATAACACAAGCAAGGTAACAACCATGCAAGAGTGATACCTGAGAAAGCACCAATAAATGCCATAATATACCCAAAAAAGGGAACGAATATTGCCACAAGCATAGTACAGACCACAATGATTGTTCTAATTAAGATGCTAACAAATCTGCTTTTGTGGGAACGCCATGTGTCCTCAATAGCAACGGCAATTGGAGTGACTACAACTGCATACTTAGTGAATGTGGTGAATAATGTTGTATAAATAGCTATGTAGGTGCTTGTTTTCTTCATTGAAAGATTTAAGATCACTTGGGACTCTGAATAATCTCCAAACATCAAGTAACCTATAGTGGCCATGAATCCATAGGTTATGGTGCTTGTCACAATGCAAAACAGTAAAACCTACAATTGACAAATAGTATAATTGTTTTTAAGTGTCAAATTCGATCTATACACAAATGAAATTAAAAGTAAGCAGAAACAAATTTCTAATTTCTAATAAAGATAATGACACCCAATTGGCCAATAGATGAAGTTGATCAATTAAGCAACATAAAGATTTCTGTTAGCTACAACTTTTTACCTTGGAAAATTGACTATTATCTCTCATGGAGTTGCTTAGTGTGGGAAATACTGCGTGAGCACAGTAGCAGACATTAAAGAGACTCAAAGTAGCAGGCAATTCTCTCAGTTTCCATAGCTGGCCTCTTTGATGAAACCCCACACCGTCAACTGCTCCAGCCCATAGAACACACGAGATCAAAATAATTGAAGCCACTACACCACTAGCAGAAATGTAAGCCAGAACCCCCATGCTTCTCAACCATGTTGTTGGCAATATTGCCAAAGCAGTAAGCAAAATAAAACCTCTTTTACCTCCAATTCTAAGACTACCAATTTTGAAGTTCTTGTTTGGAAACAAGTATTGCAAACAGTCACCTCCTAGTATAAGAAACTCTACTGCAATCAAATAGAGCTCTAAATACATGAAAGTGGCTACCACAACTCTTCCTTTGTAGCCAAAAGCAACCTTACCTATATCAGGGTAGGATTTGATTTGTGGATGCTTATCCATACACCTTTGGAGAAGTAACCCTGTGTACCAACATGTCACAGCCACAAAGATTAGCAATATTAAACTCGACCATCCCCCTTGAGAAAGTGCATACGGCGTTGAGAGTATTCCAACACCTGAATAAATTATAAATTAGCCCATATTAGCCATGTTATAATAATCTATAAACACAGTTTAAACATGTCAAATAAAGTAAGCATCTTAATTATCAAGCTTTCAGAAGGTTAAAATGAATTGTTTCTAAATGAATAACGTAGGGAGGATATATATAGTGCTTAGTATCAAGCATATCTTCAGTACCGCAAGAATAGGTACTCCTTTACTAAAAAAACAGTGGGTAGAATGAGATCACTGGTTAAGTTGAAGTAGCCTCTTACCTGTTGATTCACACATTTGGTGGCTTTTCTAAAGATTTTTTATTTATATGATTCTGTAACACTTGTAAAGATTATGTTCTTACCCCATACATTAATTTAGTAATATGCATAACATAAATATCAAAGCATTGCATAATATATATATATATATATATATATATATATATATATATAATCTTTTGACACCAAATTCTAACCGTTGATTTTCGCCAATCAACAAATATCATTTATTAAAAATTAATAATTAATTAATAAGTTTGATTGACGAAAATTATAATTGTTGATTGGTGAAAATCAACAGTTGAGATTTGATGTTAAATTTCAAAGTTTGACACCAATATCAAATGATGCTGCATATATATCATGGGGCCGCACATGTAGAGAGAGAAGGAAAGAGACCTAATAAGGTGTTCAATCCATTGAAATAAGTTCCGAGAAAGGAGGCTCCTCTGCTAGGTTGCCCTAAATGTGGATCTTGGAGTTGGCTTTGGCTCTCCATGCATGTTCTCTTTCTTTTAGGCAAGCTGATTGCTAAGTCTTTTATGCCCTCTACATTATATATTAGTGTAACAAAATTAATTCTTTCATTGTCATGCTTAACGCATTTTGTTGAAAGTCAAAAGAGAATGCTTGATTCAAGGGTAAAGATTGTGCATAAGTAACTGTACAAGGGAAACAAGCACCAAGCTGCGTATTTTTTTTTTTTTTTTTTGGTATTTTCCAAAGATCTTGAAAGTCAAGATTTCATTGCTGTTTGCAGCTAATTTCATTATTCGATCGTCAAATTCTAATTCTACATAAAATATATATATATATATATATATATATATATATATATATATATGAAAGTGAGAAATGTAAGGCATGGAATGCAATTAGTTTTTTTTGTTAAAAATTATCTAAAAAGTCCCACAATTTTATTAAGAGGTAGGATATTCATACTACCAAATTTTTCTACTACCACTCTAAGTGCCTGTTTGGATCCTCTTATTTTTAAGCTAGAAGCTACTTATAAGCATAAGCTAGGCCAAACAGATTTTGGGAAAAGCTCTTATAACGAAAAGCTCTTTTTTTTATAATGAAGAAAAAAGCTGAAAATTAAAAGCTCCTAGGAGGAGCTTTTTTTTAAGCTCTTATCTGTTTTTCTTGAATTGTGTGCTTTTTTTTAAATGAAGAGTGATAAAGATAGAGAGAAAGATAATTTTCTTGAAATATGTGCTTTTAAGTAATTTTTAAGCTAAAACTTTTATGTAATTTCCAAACAGCTTTTAGCTTATTTTTTTAAGCTCTAGCTTATAAGTAGCTTCTAGCTTAAAAATAAGAGGATCCAAACAGGCTCTTAGCTTATTTTTCTTTTATCTCTCTTCGTTCAACTTTTCCTTTAGTTCAATGGTGATTAGAGTAGTACTGAAATGTTAATAGAAAATTTTGATAGTATGAATATTCTACCTCTTTTATTAAAACCTAAAAATATATCTCTTATCATACCTATGTCTAAATTTGTTACCCTCACAATTAGTTTTGGAGAACTATGGCTACGTGTACGTGTTTCATTTGAGATCTCGTGCATTTGTTTCATGAGGGCAGTTTCATGTTCAAGGTTTGGATTCATGACGCGTGGGGGTAAGTAGAAATCCAAATGCAAAACACTTTATCCATGAAATGTTATACAAAAAATAGATTCATGCGCATGAGGTTTCACCTTGGATTCTGAACTTGGGATAAACGACACAGGTCTTCTTTGTAGACCCTTTATTCTTCTTTTGCTTTCCAAACTTTTTCTCGATTCTCTCTTGTATTTGTAAGCTTTCAATCTCTGTGTTCTTCAGTGAGCGCCTCTAGTTTCAAGCTATCTGTTATTATGTGTGTTCTCTATATATAAGGAAAAGTCTGTTAGTTTTATGATTTTTCTCGGCTCAACATCACTGCTGCTCAGCTGGCCTTCAATAATTAACAAAGGTTTTTGTTTCTGTCTCTCTTTCTTTTTTGACTCCTTGAGGTAATATATAGATCACAAATTTGTTAAAAATATTTAGTGAAGGGGCGGTTATTTATCCTCAAAAGCCAAATAACAATTGAAAAGAAAAAAGAAAGAAAGAATGGGGCATCATATTTTATGTTCACGTGACTTTCAAAGATATTTTTAAAACTGGACCGCATTCATGGTTTATCCAAGTGCGGATAAACAGGATATGATCATACGAATAATTATTTCCCTGTATATATAGGAAAATATTATATTTATAAACTTTTTATTCACAAATTATATTATATCTTATCAATAAGATATTTTTAAGTGAAGTTTTATAGGTAAGATATGGTGTAATTTGTAAGTTTGTAAAATAAAAAATTTGTCAATATAACACTCCTCCTATATCGTCGTCAGCCACCTCTGTTCGCATTGCACTGTCAAGCCAAGTCGTCCGTTCGCTCTTGTTCATGTTCGTGCGTCGTGCCTCCGTCCCTGCTCGTGTGGGTCTGTTAACCGTTTGCGTCCCTATTCGTGTGGACCCTTGCTTGGTTGCTGAAGTCTTTTGGTTCTCTCTCCAGCACCATTATTTGTGCCGATCCGCCACCACTTGCACTGCCGTCCCAATTCACGCTCGCCTTGAAAAAAAATTGAAAAATTGTGTGACTGCACTTGCAGTCATTTGCAACAGTATAGGCCTGTCACTGTCTTAGCCTAGTGATAAGTGGTAACACTACTCATTCTCATAGACTAGGTTCAATTCTTAGTCAATGTCAAAAGTGGAATATTTTGCCCAATTTTTAAAAAATGGGTTTAGGAGAGAAAACAGCTTGCCTTCACCGAGTTACCGAAACCCGGGTCGACCCGGTCAGTACAATCCGAATTTTTAAACACTAGAAATAACATGTATGCATTTTATTATAGTTCGTTTTTTCTACCGTCAATGTAGATAAGTTAAGTTATCTACATTGAGTTCAAAACGATGTTATTTTGGGACAGAAATTAAAGTATTTTTGTAATTATAATTTATTTCAAAGTTACAATAGTCTTTCTAACTATAATTTTTTAATCTTTCAACCCAAAATAATATTGTTTTAAGAATAAATATAAATAACTTTTCTACATTTATCATAAAAATATTAAAGCCTTTTATTATCCTTACATGGGTAGGCTTGCGTATAACTTGTATAGGCAGTACAAATCTTGATGTCAATGTGACCATAAATAATACTAACGATAAGAAAAGCATATTACTGATATTTCCAAAAATCTCGCTCATTTTTTATGCTCCCGAAGTACATATTCTTTATCCAAAAATAAAAAAATATGGATATGAATAGAAATAAATATAAATGCAAGGATAATGTAAAAATCTTACTTTTTATTATATTTGATTAATGAAGTACTGAGTACTCTGAGCTCCGGAAGCACGAAAAATATTTTCATTTGCATATATGCTTTGTAATAAGGTAACAAAGAGTTAATGAAAGAATAATAATTTAATCTGAAAAATGTTTCTATAATAACTACAGATAAATTATTTATATCTACTGCGTCATTTTACGATTGAAAGATTAAAAAATCATAATAATAAAGACTATTATAAATTTATAATCTAAAAATAAATTAAAATTATAAAATACTTTAATTTTTGTTTCAAAATAACATCTCAATATAAATACCTTAATTATATGCATTCATTACAAAAAAAAACGGACCCCAACTTTATTGTGAGTAATTATTATCAGTTTTATCAATTGAGGAAGAAAAACTTCAATGCATGAGTTTGTGCTCCCTTTTATTAAATAGAAAAAAAATAGAATTTAAAGGAATATTTTAAAAAAAATATGTGTAAAAAGAAAAAAAAAATCCTTATTTAAGAAAAAAAGGCACTGAGTTCAATACTCTCTCGGTGATTGAAGTTTTTCTCTATCACAATACCCGACGTGTTAGCTTCGTGTATATGAGGGTAAAAAAAAAGCAGATGTGGCTGAAACTCACTAATCAATGACTAGTTGTAGAGACAAAATCAGGTCAACAAATTCACATGAAAATGACAGTATGGCCCTTGGGCTTACGAGTTACGATGATAAATACAAAGCAATTGAATTGATGCATAAATTGTCTTGCGTCCGAAATTAAAGGTTGAAAGAAACCGAACCGACTCCTGAAGCTGAGGCTCTGGTTTAACCGAACCGAATGTGGGAATCGGTGTGGTATTGAATTGACCCTACTCAACGAGTTAAAATCAGACAAACAAACGCCTTTTTTTCTCTCTCTACATCAATGCCTCTCGTTCGGTCGGATCCTGAGGGGGACACAATAATTTGAAGAAGCATCATAATGTCTGCGGTTATTGGTTTCTTTAATTCTTATGCTATTACACTTTGGTTGTACTGGTTCTTACGAAGGAGTGTATGCTTTGGTTGTTGCTAATTATTGCATTCTCACAATAACAAAATTGTTAGCATACTAATCAGAACAATCATCGTGGTCTGTAGTGTGCTTGTGGCAATATTTGTTTCCTTTTTTGTTTATATCATGACATTTATTGGTGCTTTCTCAAATTAAAGTTTTTTTTAATGGAAAAGTGTTTGTTATATTTTTTTTAAATATTTCAATCGGTTCATCATTTTGTGACTAATCCAATTCGAGACGAGTTCAAGATTAAGACTTTAAACCACTTTCAAAGGTTGTACTGAAGAGGATCAAACACCTCTCATTCTCACTGTTCAGCTCTCATACATCAACTGAGCTATCACCATTTGATAGTATATGTTATTTTAAATGACATAACTTTGTATCATTTTTAATGAAACTACGTCATTTTGTTTTGCATTCTCTCTCCTTCACTTTCCTTTTCTTCCTCATTTTATAAAAAAAATTGTAAAAAAAAACTAATAACACACCAAAACAACATAATTTAATTAAAAATAATTTAAAGTTATGTCATTTAAAATAATAAATATTATTTCTTTTCTTATATGCAAAATTCCATTAAAGAACTCAGATCAAATTGGATGACCGGAAGCAATTGATTTTTTATACTGAAAAACGAATTGTATTGGAGAATTGATCCAATTCAATCCACGTCTAATTGATGGGTGCGTGAATTTGAGAAAGAATTTAATGGGACTATGGAGATTGTGATTTGTGACTGACGATGAACTACAGTAACGAATTGTTTATGGGAGAAAAACTTTGGGGCACAATTAGCGTTGAACTGGGGCAAAAAAAATTTAATTATTGCATTTTAATTAAATAATTACATATTTATTATAGTTTTGAAAATAATTACAGATCTATTGTACAATGTGACGCTTTTTTTGGGCGTCACATGTGACGCCTCATTTAGGCGTCTCTCACCTAAGGAAAAACGTCACATTGGGACATCTCTCCTGAGGTGTTGACACGTGTCATTTTTTTTTCAAAAAAAAATAATAATTTAATTATAAAACTTCTGAAGGCCATAACTTTTGACTCGGATATTCAATTCAGGTAATTCTTTTTTTGATTTCACATAACTTTTC